ATAGTGATATTAAAACACATTTTCGGCTTAATATAAAGAAATGTTCATTGTGCAATAAAGAAGTACTTCAGTATGTTAATGGATTTGTAGTATACTTATATTTATATGTTGTCTTACAGCGAGAGGCTGATGTTTTGGAAGTGCCACTAGATGACTGCAGGCAACAGATAGAGCCTGAGACGGACAGAAGCCATGGGCACCAGAGGCTCATGGGTAGCTCTGTATGTCCTTTGTTCTTCTTCTTTCCACCCATCCTGATCTCATAGTCTAAATTTCCCACATGATCTTTAAAAGTTTTAAATATATAATATGTATGTAAAGAGCTATTTAGTGATGTTGATTTGTAGGCCAAACAAAGTGGGTTCTTGTTTTTACGTTCATGTCTTCCCAAGGTGTCTCTTGAAGACATGGAAGGAGAGTTAGTGCAGGAGCTGTTGAGGGTGAGGGACATGCTGAAGATCAGAGACACTGAGCTGGAGGAACAGCTACAGGAGCTGAAGTCTGCTCGCGCTCAGGTGGGGCCGGCAAACCTCATGGAAATCTGTGTAATCTTGGTTGGTTTAATGCGAGGATGAAGATATGATTTTTCATACTGTGCAGGTGTCACAACAGAGCGGTGAAGTCCAGAGGCTGGAGCAGCTACTGGCAGAGAGAGATCAAGAAATGAAAAAGAAGTATATGTATTTGACTAATAATTAATTCCCATACAGATAAAGTAAACACACACACACACACACACAGTATATATATATGGTACACTTGGTATATACACTCACCGGCCACTTTATTAGGTACCCCATGCTAGTAACGGGTTGGACCCCCTTTTGCCTTCAGAACTGCCTCAATTCTTCGTGGCATAGATTCAACAAGGTGCTGGAAGCATTCCTCAGGGAGTTTGGTCCATATTGACATGATGGCATCACACAGTTGCCGCAGATTTGTCGGCTGCACATCCATGATGCGAATCTCCCGTTCCACCACATCCCAAAGATGCTCTATTGGGTTGAGATCTGGTGACTGTGGAGGCCATTTTAGTACAGTGAACTCATTGTCATGTTCAAGAAACCAATTTGAAATGATTAGAGCTTTGTGACATGGTGGAAGTAGCCATCAGAGGATGGGTACATGGTGGCCATAAAGGGATGGACATGGTCAGAAACAATGCTCAGGTAGGCCGTGGCATTTAAACGATGCCCAATTGGCACTAAGGGGCCTAAAGTGTGCCAGGAAAACATCCCCCACACCATTACACCACCACCACCAGCCTGCACAGTGGTAACAAGGCATGATGGTTCCATGTTCTCATTCTGTTTACGCCAAATTCTGACTCTAACATCTGAATGTCTCAACAGAAATCAAGACTCATCAGACCAGGCAACATTTTTCCAGTCTTCAACTGTTCAATTTTGGTGAGCTCTTGCAAATTGTAGCCTCTTTTTCCTATTTGTAGTGGAGATGAGTGGTACCCGGTGGAGTCTTCTGCTGTTGTAGCCCATCCGCCTCAAGGTTGTGCGTGTTGTGGCTTCACAAATGCTTTGCTGCATACCTCGGTTGTAACGAGTGGTTATTTCAGTCACTGTTGCCCTTCTATCAGCTCGAACCAGTCTGGCCATTCTCCTCTGACCTCTGGCATCAACAAGGCATTTCCGCCCACAGAACTGCCGCTCACTGGATGTTTTTTCTTTTTCGGACCATTCTCTGTAAACCCTAGAGATGGTTGTGCGTGAAAATCCCAGTAGATTAGCAGTTTCTGAAATACTCAGACCAGCCCTTCTGGCACCAACAATCATGCCACGTTCAAAGTCACTCAAATCAACTTTCTTCCCCATACTGATGCTCGGTTTGAACTGCAGGAGATTGTCTTGACCATGTCTACATGCCTAAATGCACTGAGTTGCCGCCATGTGATTGGCTGCTTAGAAATTAAGTGTTAACCGGCAGTTGGACAGGTGTACCTAATAAAGTGGCCGGTGAGTGTAAATGGCTTAATGAAATTTTTTTTTTTTATTGAAAATATATTTCATTTAAACCTTCTAAGACCAAAATCAATATGTACTTCAAGGGGCAAGACAATACATTTATTAAAATGTATTTAATTTGTTAAATGTATTTATTTTAGATTGACATTGTATAAAAATGGCACAAATATATAGGAACAAATTAGTGCTGTCAATCGATTAAAAATGTTTGTAAATATAGAATGTGTGTGTACACACACACAGACATACATATATAGATATATAAACATACTGTATATACACACACAAACTTTTATGTCACAGTTAATCGATTTGACAGCACTAGAGCAAATAAAAATATATATATATTAAAATATATATTAGCAATTTTCTTTCATATTGACTGCCAAAAAAATGAATGATTATGTCATATGAAAATGAATAATGCATGTGATTGTTTAAAGGAGTCAGAGAAGTTCATCAGGACAAAGGACCCCATTTATTTCCAGTGGGGGGTTTAACGGGCATGTAATGTGACCATGCAGTGCTATTAAAAACAAGTAAAACTGGAAGCAGTTGCTTATTGTTCCTTGAATGTTTCATGTCATCAACTCTTTTTCATTCTACCACAGGGATCAAGATCTGAAGAACCTGGAGATACAGAGGATAGCAGAGAAAGCAGAGGCTCAGATCAAGATATCCGCCCTGGAGCAGGAGGTACAACGACAACTATGACTTTAAAAGTTTCTCACAGCAGAACAGATTAATCTAATGAGGTTTCATTATGCCACATCTTTGTGCCTCATACCTCGGGCAGATTTTTGGACATAAAGGGCTTCAGTCGAGAGAGGGAGTGGTCAGTGGATGCAGTCCTGAGTCACTGAAGGCCTTGCTAGAAGGTATCTCCACATGCTATGATTGAGTATAGCCTGCAAATTTGTTGAATTTACATGAACACAAAAGCTCCTAGTTATACAAGCTCGATTTCACACGTTGTTGTTTTCCGAAATGTGTCAGAATTCAAAAACACAACGCAAGAAGGCATAGCATTTACACGAGAAGGGGCTCTGTACCGCATTAGCATTAGCACATCTGCTATAAAAGCGGTGCAACAGTTTGAAATTAAAACAAGTTATGGCTAGCTACCTGAATATTAACTCATACTGTTGAAAACAGGGGTTTTTTGGCCTTTGAAATCCACATTCCTGCAAAGTTTCGCTCAAACCATAATCAAACACACATGAACAAGCTAATCAGCTAAGCTAAGTCTTCAGGAGTACTAGAAATTGCAGGTGAGTTTGATCAAGGTTGAATCTAAACTCTGCAGAAAAAAGTGGATTTTTGAGGGCCAGAGTTGAGTTGCGTTTAACTCCACTTTTAGACATACACTCAAGAACTTCTCTTAGCTCTTCCTCTCGGGGGAATCCCCACTGCCATTTTGAAGTGCATTAAACTATGTCAAGTTGGCGAGGGAAGTTTATTTAGACAGACCCTCAACCACTCAATTTTGACAGAGGGAGCGAGTCTACTCGACATGTACACTTCAGGCAGGTTAAAAAGCATAGCCATTTGTAGGTGACTCTATCGCCCCCTTGTGTACTGGAGGTGTGTTCCCACCAAAACAACTCAAGAATGCACATTTTGTACAATAGGAATCAATGTGTTACCTCAGAATTCATGCTCCTGGCCTAAAACTTTGCTTGTGTTTATTCTGTGGCCCCAGAAAGCAAGAGGCGAGCTAAAACGCTTGAGCAGGAGAGAGACCAACCCTTACAAAGTATAAGCCTTGTACCTTATCAGGTAATGATTGCCGTTTGTTTGCACATGTGTGCCAGTGTTTATTCATTGATACTTCGCTTCTTTAAAGTGAAATTCTTTCCATAGGGTAAAGCAGAGAGAGAATCTCCACCAGAGAACAAAAACCAGAAACCTGTTAGTTCAGACCTTGTAGATCCTAACCAACAGAGGAGGCTAGTCACTGAGCAGGTGCTATACAGTGTGCATAGTGATACTACTAAACACTTCATCATACTACTTGCTATTATAACTTCCTGTCTGTGCTTATTTACTTCTCTTTCTGTGCTACAGCTGAAAAGTCTGTTCAGAGAGAGAGAGCAACATGGAGAAAGGTCAGTAGTAAACAATGAACACACTGTCAGTTGTCAATCAGTTTGATTCATTATCTCCCCCCTAAAGGCGGGTTTATTTCCACTCCTTCCTATATAAAAATGAGACAGTGGGGAAATTCCAGACTCAGAGGCCCCAGTACTCTCCCCTCCCCCTTCTCCTGTTCCCAACTGAAAATCTGTGGAAAAATCAGTAAGTGAGCCGCTTAAATGGATGGACAGACACACTGAACAAGATCAGTTAAGGTGTGTCTCACTGCTTTTATCCAATTGAAGGAAATCCTTAAACCACAAGTTTTTGAAATCAAAAAAGAAAAAAAAACACTTCCTGAAGTTTTAAGGAGTTTGACTGGTGTTTGTTTTTGTCTTGCTTAGTTTTCTTTGTTTGTTAATCAAATCCTTCAGTTCTAAATTGACAGCATATACATGCTCCCAACTTTAACTCAATATATCTGCGTGAATCCTGGCTCAGGGAAAGGAGTGGGGGTGGGAATGCTGGAATTTTCCCAGTGTCATAATTCACGTTTGACAGGAGAGGACATAAAAACCCAACTGGAGAGGAGGCCATAAATCAAATTTTGTTGACGTTTGACAGAAAATGTTTACGTATGTCTTGTGTACCATTAAGATCTCCAGTGTTCCCGAGAAGACCTAGCTTGGTTGAAAGCGGGGTCCAAAATGCTACAGGTATTAAGGTACCGGTAAGCAAATTAAGTGGTAAATTTGTTTTGTGGCCATAAATCATGATACTTTTTAATACTGAAATTAATAACAGCTGTGTGTGACACATTTAGAACTGGAATGCTGTTGACACATTAAACCATCAGGGAAGAAAAACACAGAAACTGGAGCAAGAACTCCAGCAGGGGGCAGCAAAGGGGTCTTCATCCCATATTTCAGTCTCTCAGGCGGGATCGGAGAGGTCTGAGAGAGGGGAGGAGAAGAAACAGTCAACCAACCAGAAGCACCTCAGCAAGACGGCCCAGGTATGTTATGATAAAGATTATTGTTGAGAATCTACCTTGCCAGTCATATTGCAATAACATACTTTAGATCTGTTCTAATTCTAGTGTAGTTGAAGACTAATTCATAATCATCCGACTGGAATCTGTGATATCTTAGAGAGGGAAGTTTTACAAACAAAACGACTCCATTCAAGAGCACATAAGGCCATAGACTCTAATTGAAGTGTCCTGATCTAACATTTTGTCTTAATCAAAGAGCATGCTGGGATGGAGGGGCACATAAGCAGCTTTTAGGGTTGCAGGAGGGCGTCTGCAGAGGATGTGGTCAGAACCAGCGATAAAACGCAACAGAAACACTGAACTGAATGAGATTTCTAATGTTGTATAGTTGTTTTATCCTTGCGATACTTAGAAAAGAACTACAATGGGACAAACAGCTTTTATGCTGTGGTGTGATATTATGAAAATAAATGGTGAATTAAAAAAAAAAAACATTAAAATATCCTACACTTACTTTCCCCCGGCAGATGTCAGCTGTGAGAGATAAAAAGGAAAATCTAAAAGAGAGAAATGAAAATCTCCTTGAAGGTGAAAAAAGTGACAGAAGTCCAATCATATATAGAAATTGGGGCCAAGTTTTGGAAATTTGTGTGGGGTTGTAATTATTTGTTTCTGAATGTTACATTTAAATGTTATTCATATATCAATAATTTAATGTGGTGTAATTGTATTCCTTTCTGTCTTGCTGGTCCAGCTAAAGTAACATCTCCTTATCCAAACTTTCCCCTGGGCTGCAAGGATGGAACATTCCTAGCAAGGCAGGTTGAGGTTTGTGACTCGGATACAGAATAAACCATTTGAGGAGAAGGAAAGGGGAGCAAACTGCTGGAGGGATAATAATACATTGCAAAGATTCATACTGCACTGACAACCTATATAAATGCAGTTTTGGAGTTGTTGTGAGGTACATTTAAAATTTGACACAAAACACCAATGATGTCAGATGAAACCATTTTTCACTTTTTCATTTATACTCATTTTTATTGTCTTGAATGCCAGTTGCAGGTTGTTTTCTAAAGACAATGTTCAGAGATATTTGATTTCACTGATACATACATTTGCATTTAATCTATACAACAGTAACATAATAAAAATATCATTTAGTTCTAAATATGATTTAAAGAGATTCATTTCTAAAACGATAATAAAAAGTGTTCCAACATAGGGTAAAGGTCATTAATGTCTGTCTGTCCATGGTTGGGTCAGACTAGAGGTCATCATGTCAGCTTTTCATTTTGCACTTATGGTTGAATATAACATGATGTTGCGCAGTATCCACTTAATTCGTGCTACACATCAAAACCTGTGTTAATGTGTAGTCATAGAACATGTGACGTGCCATGAGATTACTTTGTGTTGTCTATGGGGATAAATGCTATACAAGTAAATGACCTCATGGCCATGAACTCCCATTGCTGAGGTTTGAGCAGATCTGTAATAAAAAGGATCGGACTGTCGTCTGAAGGATTGAAGAGGGATGGGGGATTAAACTACAATGTCATTAAAATAGGCTGATCTCCTGTGGATCTTGGATCCTGTAAGACAAGCATTTAATCCTGAACATTAAAAGCAAACATTTAGGCTTAGTTTATGATGAACAAATCCTTTAGCTTTTACATAACAGCAAGCTGGACTTGCTGTATGCATATCATGACAAATATATTTATTTATCTGATAGGAGGGATTTGTGGTGCAATATGCTTTCATGTACTCCCAGGATATTAAACAGTTTTCTGGGAACTATTTTATATAATATGTTAATATGACAATATGTTACCTCTTGACATTTTAAGCTTTTTGTCATTTTTTGTTAATGCAGAATTTAAAACAGGAATAGGGAAGTTGTGTGTTTTGTGAGAAGATTATGTATGACTAAATTGTTTGCTGTATGAAGTCCTTCCACATTTTTTAATAACAATGGAAAAGGGAATTTTTCAAAAGTGTTAGCCTTTCAGTTAACCTTTCTGCATCCATCTTGCCTGATGGTGACATCTCCAGTCACACAATAAATTCATGCCAGCTCTGTCCATCACAAAGTAATGACGCATATGCAACTTCAGATGTGCTCACCTCACATTTTTTGGCCCCACCCAAACACAAAACTGAAACTGCTTATAAATGGCCTTGTCCCAAATGCCACCCTCATCTCTACACTTAGTTGATTCTGCTAAGACTGCCAGGTAGAAGTCTGCTGTAAAGTCTGCACCAGTATGGTCTTGGCGAAATGGCACATTGATGGTATAATAGCACACTTCTGAATAATAAAATGATTTTCGTCCCCTTTTGGGATGGACAGGGATAAGCAACCTAACTCCTTGAAGACTACCTTCCTGCAGAATTCAGTTCCAACACACCTGCCTGTTGTTATCAAGTAATCCCGAACACCTTGATTAGTTGGTTTTAGCTGTGTTTGATCAGGTTTAGAGCTAAACTCTACAGGATGGTTGCCCTCCAGGAGCAGGGTTGGCTACCACTGTTGAAGGGAATTCCATTTATAATTTTAGGCAGTCTTCAACTCTAGTCCTGGAGGGTAAGTGTCTTGTAGACTTTAGTTCCAATTCCAATTTAACCCACCTGTCTGTAATTTGCAAGTAGTTCTTAACACCTTGATTAGCTTGTTCAGGTGTATTTGGTTAGGGTTTGAGCTAATCTCATCAGGACACTGGCCCCCTAATGTTGGGGTTGAAGAAAATGGTGGGGTTCACTGGTATGGAATTCAGTGTGGTCTACATCCGTGGGTGCTTCTCATTTCTTATTTTTGCATCCTCGCTTTCTTTCCTCGCATCTTAGCGTATCCACGCTCATGACTCCTCAGGAAGCTTCCTCACTCCTCGTTCCTCACCTCCTCACGGTGCAATTTGAGAATGTCCTTCAAGATGGCTGAGTCCGATCGATTTCCGGGTCACAGGCTCGAGGACCGAGGAAAAGAGGAAGCATCAATTTAAGTATTGAGAAGCACCCAGTGTTTCTGAACTCCAGTCCTGGGAACCAACCTAACAGAACGTTTTAGAAGTCTCACTAATTAAAACACCTGATTCAGCTCATCAGTCTTTTGAATAGACTAGAGAGACATCTAAAACATTCTGGGAGGTGGGTCCTGGGGAGAGAAAAACTGGTCGACATTATCTATAAACTTGTATAACTCAACTAAGATTGGGGCGAGGGTACCATTTGGGAGAGAATGAGAATAGTGTATTGTAGTTTCACCTGGAGTCTGGTTGGTAAGATTGTCTGTTTTCAGGATCAGGACTTTAAGCTGATGGACTGGTCTGGAACTGCAACAAAATGAAGAGCTGACCGTAGACCTTGTGACCTCTCTGAATCTTGAGATGTCATTTTCTGAGGGACATCAATGTTCATATCTTGAGCATGCTGAATAAAATATGAGCCACTCTTTTCCTTTGAAAGAGAACAATGAGGTGTAGGTATTTAAGATGTCTGGGTTGATGTTTAAGACTGTCTAGTCTTGTAACAAGAGCTATGAAGTGACCTTGGTCTTGTCCACAACTTGCCTTAGTTCTCTAACGCAGGTGACAGGCCTGTCTGGTGTCCAGTCCAGACTACTGCAGCAAACTTCCAGCTCCTCAAATAGGGATGTCTTTGGATTATCCTGAGTGAAGACGGCCAGTCTGAGTATGCAACTCTTAAGCCCTTCTAAAGATCCGACATTGACCACCAAGTTCTGTTTATAGAGTCCAGAGCTAAGGTTGTAATCTTGGGCAGATATAACCAGAGGTCCAGGGCAAAGTGGGAGAAGCCTGGCCTGGACAGTCACTTCTTCTAGATGATGGACTACACCAGTAATACCAACTAAGGATAGTGTGAGTGTGTTCTGTGTTGAAGAGAAGGTTAGGGTGAAGTGCAAGAAGGGATCTGAGGTCTTGCTGCAAGAATTTGAACCATAGTTAGGTAATAAAGATTCTTCCTGAAGTAGGCCTTGAGTTTGAAGTTGAGAGAGGGTGCAAGGTGATTGTAGGTTAGGAATAGTGAGCCTTCTGTGTTCACTGAATGAATAACTATCCCCAGCCACAGTGCAGTGGCGTTCCAGGACCTTCCGAGTCTTCGCGAGAAGACTAAGTCTTGGTAAAGAGGGGAGAGAGTAGCGGCCACTGGCCATGGGCTTGTATAGAGAAGAGGAGACAGCTGGAGAACTGAGTCGTCTCATTTGGAAGCATGACGTCTGCTTGTTAACCTCCGAGAAAGCAGTGAACTCTTCGTCTGATGGTGTAGAGCTCTCAAAAGCAGATGGGTAGTCTAGAACCTCTCCTTCCAGCTGCTCATACTGCAATTTGGTAAATGTGGTTCCAGATAAAGGGGAGGAACTTAATGCCACAGTCACATGATCCACAGAATCGGGGGGAGGGGGGGTCCTCACAGTCTTTTCGTCTTCATGTGGTTTGTGTCTGGTTTTTAACCAACAAATTACACAGCCCAGTATAAGGGATAAACAAAGGACCACCAAGCCCACACTCAACAGAATCTGTAGGTGGACTGAAGAGACAGAGGCTGGTTAGAACAGCATTTTAATCCGAAACTATCATTCTAAATGACAGAACAACTGTTAAATCGTAATCCGCAAACAAAGGAAACAATTTAATCCGCATAAAGTCAGTATTCAGTAACAGAATGGTAACAAACCAGATATGAACTGCAGTACTTAAATTTGAAATCCAAGTAATCTAAATAATGGTTGGTTTCTCAGACCGAATGGACAACTACTTATTAACAACTTTCCTGGCAAACGCACCCAAGTATTATATAGTTTGCTTAGAGGTTAGGTCTACCATACCTTCAAGTTGCTTTGTGAAAAGCACCTGCACCAGCAGCCAGAGAAACAAGAGAACGATGATTCCCTCGATCATTCCCTTACAGCCAAACATTAGCACAGACTGCCACACAGGTTCCCCAGAGTTCTCCTCCTCCTCAGTAGGCATGATGACCAAGGAACGCCACAGCTTCTCACCGCATCTTCACCTTCTGGAGTAACATTATGTATCTTCACAGGGGTGACTTCAGAACTGTAAACTCCACTCCATCCGTATGCATCTCTAGAGTTGAACAACACTGGTTTCTGGTTTATGTTCTACAAGACACTAATGTCCTTTTCTAAATTGAAGTCAGAACCGAATTTTGTCGAGTCTTTCTTATGTCAAGATGCTTTAAGATGAACCTTAAACCTGTTTCCCAATTTAAAGCAACAAGATCAGGTGAATAATACCATCCATCAAGTTGTAAGAAACACTTTTTTATATGATTAAATTCCAAATTGTCATTCAGTCTAAATAAAATCCAATTGATTCTGCTTGTGGTCTTTCCTCTCCTACATCTGTCTTTTAGTTATATCCAGGGCAGTAATCCTCTCCACTGACTCCCGTGGTGAGAGACTAAGATGAGTTTAGAGGGGTGGTCCAGCTCAGGACAGGGGCGGGACACACCAGAGATGGGATAGACACTTTACTGGTGACGGGTCAAGGACAACCATGTCATGTGTCCCACACTGTGCTTATTAAAAAAGGCATCAACGGAACAATCCCATCCTACCACCCCCACAAAACAGCATCTGTCACATCCACTGCGAGTTCTGCACATAATGAAAATGTCATAGTTAATGTCACTTGCTGTTTTAAGCAGATACAGAAGTAAATATGCATTGCATTATTACATGCACTTTCGTCACATTTGTCAATCTTATCAGACATTAATGAGGATTACAAAGGCAGATCTATAAAATCATACTGAGTTGTGGACACAACTGTTTGATTTCAAAAGCATAATACTGATGTAGTGCCTCTTGGTGTCTTGTGACATGAATTGCATCTTTCCTTAAAACTGATTTCAATGTGCACAACCATGCATTGTGATACATTTATTTCATAAAGAAAAAGAAGCCTTTAAGGACCATTATTTGCATTTTTACATTATTTTCATGACTTCTGTCAAGAGTAATTTGTTTGACTTTTTTCTTTACTTTTGAATTAACTGCTTTTTCTAAAAAAAATTGAGATAAATGCAATGTTTACATTTAAATATGCAAACATAAAAATAAATAATACATGACCATGATGTATGACTGCAATTAACTTCAGTTAATCCAAAAAGAGTAATAATATCCTACAGAAAGAGTAAGAAAAAACCCACCACAAAACCACAAAAATCTTGCATCAGATCAGACTTTAATTTCATTGTGTAAAGTTGCATGTGTCTATACATCGAGGTCATCAAAGAGGATAACAAACACATGGTCTTTGGTTTTCAGCTATGTAATTATCTGAAGAATATAGCAATTAAAACAGAAGAAACTAAAAGTGTCTGTATCCCAGCAGGTCCCAGGGTCAAGCAAATGCAGGATTATAAACGACTAAAAAGCTAATAGTTAAATGAGGCTAAATCAGCATGGGTACATGAACATAACCAGCCTCAATTGCTACTGGAAGTTTATTGGAAGTACTGGAAGACAGTTTATGCAATAATAATCAATACTTCATGGATATGAGATCTAACTCTTCAAGCAATAATCTCATCTCACACTCCCGTATTAACGTTCTGCCTTTCACCATCTTTACATTTCTGAGGTATTTTGCTAATTCATTACCTGAGATGTTTTTTTGCATTAAAATCAGCAGAACTTTGAGGTAATTCAGTGATGTACTGCAGGCAGTTGAACTACATCCGAGGTAAATCCTGACTGAGGTAGCTATTTCAGTCCCACACTGACCGAGTTATATCTAGTGTATTCGTTTCAGGAGTGAGACTGTCTAGGTTCTAAAGTTGAAATTTGTGAAGAAAAAAAAAAGATTTCCTGAGAAACTCGCTTTCCAATATGGAAAGATATGTGAGGTCTGAAGTTCAACAATTAAAAAAAAAAACATCCAATCTTCTTTTGATTTGAATGTTATCCTGCTTTTCTGTGACCTGGTTTGTTTTAAAAAGAACTCGTATGCGCACCAGAGTAGAAGAATAGTACATTAATCAGGGCCCTTATTTATGAGCCTGTACATGATCGTCCAACGCACAGAAATGATTGACATGTGCGACACTAACTGTGCATGTCGACATCATTTCTTTTCAACCATACATTGTCTTGTGTCTGAGGTAGAGAAAAATCTTTCAACCAAACTGTTGCCTGTAAATATGTCTTAATAATAACAAAAAACAAAAAAAACTGTCAACTGCTTACACTGTAAAAAAGTGATCAGCTGACTTAACTTAAAAAGGGAGGAAACCCCTTGCCTTAAAAGTTAAGTAAATAAACCATGCATAACTGAAAAATGAAGTTATGTGGAATTGTCAAGTTCACATAACTTAATTTTTTTGATTACGCGTAACTTAAAAAAAAAAGAGGAAAACCCGTTGCCTTTAAATTAAGTTGAGTCAACTGATCACTTTTTACAGTGTACAATGCAATCAAACTCAAAACTCTTTTTCAAATCATATTAATATTTCTTTATCTAGAAGCTAAAAAAAAAAAACAACGGAAATAGGAAACAATAAAATCAAGTAAATACATTTTAAAAAAAGAAAAAATATATGTGACCCCTTTTCTTACTGAAACAACTTTGCAACACTAGATGGGGATTGTAGCCTGCTTTTAAAATCCATCAAATTAGACAAAAAACAACAACACAGCAGTATCATAATCGATCCTGAGTCTTTTAAATTCACTGCAGATGAGGTAAATTCAGCAAACTTTAAATAAGAGAATTGATAGACAGCAAAAAAGAAAGTGTCAAGCACAACCTCACAGATGTGACTTTGGCAGAAGTAGATTTGATCATGCCATGATTGCTTTGCAGATCTTTGTGAGAGAATGACTATGGGTGTGGAAAGGCATAATTACGCGATCACCAAAGTGTGTACGCTGAGGTATTCTGTTGAATCAAACATGTCTAAAAACCTTCTCAGTCCTGAGAAAACATCTTGAGGAAAAGAGCAGGTGGGGTCCGTGATGAGCTTTAACAGCTGATGAGTTTGTAAAAGTGTATGTGTGTGGTCCTCCCTTCACTGGAAGGAAAACACAGCTGCGAGCTTGTGCAGGAGGCAGACTGTGATTTGCTAGACCGCCTCTAGAGGGCAGAGCGACTCGTGCCGCTCCAGAGGAAAGACTAGTTTAGGGTGGACTGACGGGCTGTTTGGTACAGGGAGCTGGTGACGGTTAGGGTGACCCTCCTGTGGCCGGCTCCACAGAGTCAGGACCCTTTGAGGAGGAAGAGGAGGAGGAAGAGGGGATACCGGGACTGAGGGTGGAGGTCTGGCCTGGGAACATGGCTGTGACAGCGGTGGGAGCAGCTACAGACTTCTGGGCATATAAGGATCCTGTACAGAGTATTGAAAAAAATGCATTTAGCAATTTACTTCATACAGGAATACTTCATTGATTACAGGAATACATTACTGTTTAAAAGTTGGGGGTCAGTAAGATTTATTTAAAAAAAAAGAAGAATACTTTTAATGAATTTCGTTTTCAAATAAATGCTGTTCTTTTTTAACTTTCTATTCATCACAGAAACCTGGAAAAAAAATGTATCATGATTTCCACAAAAATATTAATCAGCACAAATGTTTTCAACATTGATAATCAGAAATGTTTCTTGAGCAGCAAATCATTATATTAGAATGATTTCTGAAGGATCATGTGACACTGAAGACTGGAGTTATGATGCTGAAAATTCAGCTTTGCATCACAGGAATAAAATGCATTTAAAAAAAACATTATATATAAAAATATTACTGTTTTGCTGTTTTTTTTTTATTGAATAAATACAGCCTTGGTGAACAAGAAATTTCTTTCAAAAACATTATTCAAAAACTTTTAAACTATTCTATTACCTTTAAAATTAGAAAATTAAAAACACCTATTTTTTTAAGTTAGGGTGGCCTTTCACTGAAATCCCAAAAGTTAAGATTTTCCATTATTATTTTACTGTATAATGAACAATATAAAACTTACATTAGTACTACAATATAATACTTTTATGATCTAGAATACTTGTAGGCTTATTGGAACTTTATGGATCCTTAAGGAAATATTCATGGAAATATCCTCCTCAAGGCAAGTATAAATAAATAAATAATCGGAATAAAATGAATTAAACAAACAGCCAAGATCTACAAGCGTTTTAAAATATTACATTTGTAATCCGAGTATGCTAGTAACAATCAGAATGTATTAGTTTTTCTAATACAAAGGATTTTCTTAGGAGCCGGCCCAATCAGTGGAAAGGGGGTCTTGGAGTAACCTGAGGTTAAGTGCCTTTAACAATATTGGACAATCCCACACGTGTATAAATACAGTAATACACACCTGAGTAAATAACCCCGTTGACCTCCACAGACACAGTAATGCTAGCAGAGCCATTAGATGAAATGCTGAGAGACAGGTCCTGCTTGTCCTCTGAAAACAAGATACAAACGTCAATGACACACTTTGTAAGTCACTGTAGCTATTTTGGATGAAACCGCTGATGGACTCACCGCGGGTGCTGGTGTTGTTCATCCGCAGGTGGGCTGGGTTCACCTGTGACGCCATGGCCAGCAGGTTTTGTTGGAAAGCCTGCTGCAGTAGCCTCTGCTGTTCCTCTGCCATACGGGCCATCTTCCTCTCGGGCCCCTCCACCGCGGCGGGTCCCGCGCTCACCACTCCGACACCCATGCCGGTCTCCAGCCTCTCCCTCAGCTGCTCCAGTGTGGCGGCGCGTGCCAGCTGCTGCTGCTGATGCCCGAGAGCCAGCGCCAGGGGCAGACGACCGGGCAACATGGAGGCTGGACCGTCCTCTGGGACTGAGGAGAGGCCACAACAATACTCAATCTGTTACTATATCACATCCATAATGTTAATCAGGATGATATAATCCATGGCATGTTCACACCAACATGAAATGCATTGTACTTCCATAGTGAGATGCATCTTTTAGTTCAACAGGTTATTTGTTGAGGACTTTTTTTTCATGATTTATCCATTGGAAATTGAGTGGATCATGAAAAGGAGGCGTTTCCACACCAGAATAGTGCGCAACATTGCCTGCCCAACTTTTCATTGGCCTTTCAAGAAGTATTTTCCCCATAAAGATAGATTCTATCTGTCTGTCTGTCTGTCTGTCTGTCTATCTATCTATCTATCTATCTATCTATCTATCTATCTATCTATCTATCTATCTATCTATCTATCTATCTATCTATCTATCTATCTATCTATCTATCTATCTATCTATCTATCTATCTATCTAGCTTGTTTTGATTCTCTGATTGGTGGAGATTTCTTTGCAGAATCATGGGTAATGTAGTTTTTCCACCAGGAATTCCACTGTCAAAAAAGGGAAGTTTAAATAATGCTGGCCGATGACTTCCCAAAAAAAAGAAAAAAAAAGAAAAAAAAAGCAGATACCATTGATTAACAACCTTGAGCCTCATTGTTGTGTTTTATAAGTTATTGTTTAAAATGAATTGGAGAAAATGAATTGGATTTTACTTCCAGACCATGATTGTAGCAGACCTGAATGCTAGTTTGCTAAAAGGCTACTACCTAAATGGGTGTTTCGCTATTGACTAATGTAACCCCTCCACCCGGGTCCTTCTCACCCCGCTCTGAGCGGGTCTCGAACCCGGGTCTCCGGCGTGAGAGTCAGGCGCTCTAACAAGGAGGCTAAAGACTGCAGCCTCTAGCATCTGTCGCTAGAGCGCCTTTTTTTGAGATCAGAGGAGTGAGGTTTACTTGCACAGCGACTACTAGCTGGCCTCCGTTACACTAACAATATCAAATAGGTGACAAAAAAAATAAAAAGTCAACTCAAACTTTCATTATTTGGTAAGTTTTGGGGAACTTTTCATCAGCCAGCTGGAAGTTATGAAGCAGGATGTTTTGACATGAACATGGGTCCCTGCATTACACATCAAGGCAAGCGCTTCATTTACTGCGGCCCCCGAGGTTCGCCTCTGTCAGTAGACCCTCACAGGAAAACACAGCCCCTTAATGGCCGATCATTTCCCCAATCAGGCCAGGAAACCTGCTCCATTTCCTACATACACTTCCTGCTTGGGTTTGTTTCTATTCCACATCGAGGTGGCATTATGTAAAGGTGTGGAGATTGAAGAATAGAATGTAATGAAATGCATTTCGGTCAACATCAAAACCAATTCAATTAAAATTTCACTGTATGCCTATAATTTTAGTAGTGAATCAGAATGAACCCAATATTCAGAATACATTCAGATTCTGAAACTTCCATTTATATGAACCCTAATTTGTGTAGTTCAATATAAAAAATTTGTCTTCAAAACTTAAGTGCAAGCACAGTGCCCAGTGTCACTGGCACTACCGTCCTTCGGATGAGTCGTTAAACCGACCCCCTGACTCTCTGTGGTCACAAAACATCCCAAATTTGTACAGTGGCCCCTGTCCATCATAGCCTTCTAATCATCTCCATATATATATATATATATATATATATATATATATACACTGATTGGCTTCATCTCTGTCTCCTCTCCACCAGTACGCTGGTGTGTGGTGGGCGTTCTGGCGCAATATGGCTGCCGTCGCTTTGAGTGCAGAGAAAAGCGCTATATAAACGTAATGAATTATTATTATTACCGCCATTTTTACCTCGATGACATATCTAAAAAGAAAGCTAACATAATATGCCAAAAGAGCTTTTTTTAGCAAATATTTAGTAAATATTCAGATGTAGGTAAACATACGCAGGTTCGTAAGACGGAAAACGCACGTAAACATACACATCACGGCACTGCGCATGTGCACAACATATTTTCAAACACAATTGATGTCGTCAGATTTAAGCTTTTACACGCTTAATATTTTCCTATGGACCCTTTTCACATTCCCAGGTTCTCAGAAGCGGAAGTCGTCATAGCTGAGTAGGTTCCATATTTCTTGACTATTTTGTGATAGAAGTGAAATTTGGACAAAAATGTATTCATTTGTTACAGGAGAATGCATAAAAAATAAAAAAAATAAATGGAATGTGGGTTATTTTTGGTACAACGCCTAAACAAAATATCATAGGAACTTCAATCTTTGTGATATCAACTTCAAATTTGGAACACAGCTTGGTTAGATAAATGGCTTTTTTATTTTATAGTAAAAATTATTTTGTATAATATATATTTTGTATAAAATCATTTTTTTAGAACAGTACATTTGATTTACAATCAATTTAAACTTCCTTAACTTTTTCATTCTTTAATTTTTGAATCCGATTGATCTGCTAAATGAATAAATGTAAATGTGGTCGGATTCAAACGGGTTAATTGGGATCGAGCTCATTCTGACCGATTGAGGTGTTTACATGAAGGCTTTTCACTCCAATTGAGCCATGAATATGATTATAATTATTATATTATTATTATTTGGGTGCATATAAACACACCTAGTGACATTCAATAAGAACGTGATTCTCCTCCTCACCACTGGTGTGTGCAAATAAACCAAATGTTTATGTTGATGTGTAATATTTTACTTGGACTAAACGGATAATCATTCCAGCTCAGCCCAACATAAACCAAATTTCAACGATCTTAAGACGACTGCACACCTGTGGCTTTCTTCAGGGCAGGACTGGGGGTGGCCTGCAGTCCGTTGTGTCCCGTGGCGGGCAGGTGCATTTTGAGAGGAGAGAGGAGGTGAGGGGCTGAGGCACTGGGAGAAGGGGAAAAGCGGTACAGGCTGTTGCTGTACCCGGGGCGACGGCCCTCCCTGCGGTTACTGTCGATGGCCGCCTGCAGCTCTCCAGGGGAACTCAGACCCTTCTTCTCGCACTCGTATGGATACAGGTACTTCATATACCTGCCACAGAAGATCAAAAACTGTCAGCTTACTACGTGACTTTAGAGATGTTAGAAACCTTGATGGCAAAAAGTACTTGTGTGTATGCCGTGTACATGGAAAGGAGATCTTACTGTGTGCGGAGGGTGAAGGCGGCACTGGTGATGGAGGTGGGCAGGTTCAGGCCTTTGGTGATCTCTCTCCAGATCTTCTTGTTTATCACCTCCACCAGACCTCCCTTCTCAGTCACCAGTTTATACAGCATGTACAGATCCAACACCTGCTTGGCCATGATGGGGATTCGATTCACAGGTGTACCTGGAGGAGACAGAACGGACAGGAGCCTTTGTTTAAATATTCTGCATGATGGATCACATCAAACCAGCTGAAAAAACAAGAGTTGGTTGAGTGTTTAAAGGAATAGTTTAGTCTCAACATGATTTAAACTTCAAAATTAAAACACATTTTGTGTGTGTGCTGGGCTGGTCAAGACAGAAACTGCCGGAATGATGGGCTTTATTTAGACCGTACTGATGGGAAGACAATAACTAAAATTATGTTCTCATCAAGACAGTAACAGGGCTGATGAAGATGTGAAGAGAGGGGCCACTGATGGTACAAATAAATTGTGATATTTTGCTATTATAAAGTAGAACGTACAAAGTAAACTTAGATCAATTAAAAAAAAACATTAAAATAATAAAAAAAAGATGAAAACTTTAAGGAATTATCACAATTTGTCTTCAATGTTTTAATTTTAAAAGTAAACCGCTGTTGTTCAGCACTTTGTTAGCCAAAAAAATTTAATTAATTGTTACATTTTCATTTGATTACATATTAATTGGCCATATTATTGTAACAATTTTAATAAATTACTAATTTTATGAACTCCTAAAATTAATGAATTTCATGCATTTTATTACTTCGACATTTTTGGATAACAAATTTTTTATTAAACCAACAAACACAGAATTTGGGGAAAATAAAACGGATTTAATGGGGCCCTAGAAATGTTATTTAAACTTTTAATAAATAGTTGTTAAATTATATACATTTCATAATTTCTATTAATTAGCCATTCCTTTTGATCATTCAAATTTAATTAAACCATTAAAACAGAATGAACGAAAACGGAATCTAGAAGCAAAAAAGTGGAATTTGGGGAAAATAAAATGGATTTCATAGGCACTGTACTGTAGGAAGTAATTGGGATTTATTTAGACCGTAACGAATGAAAGTATCTATGGGAAGTGATGGGCTGGTAGTAAGACAGTAACTGAAATGATGGGCTCATGAACACAGAAGGTATGATGGGTTGCCTGTGGAAAGTGATGGGTAAATCAACACAGCAACTATGGTCAGATATAGGCTGATGAAGGGCAGCTATGGGCCAATCAACAGTGGCTATGCTAAATGATAAGCTGATGTTAGGAAGTGATGGGCTGAAATAGAGAGGCAAGCAGAAGCCAATCTGTAAGCATTAAAAGCTCATGAGTGTCTGTGCTGCCCACCCCTTCCAGAAAAACAGGGATTGAAGTGATCGAGTTTTTAATCTGTGAGTAATGAGCCGGTGTGGGTAGGCCAGTGCAATGAAGCTCATTTGGAGGGATTGCGGTAACACACACACACACACACACGCTCTGTTAGCACAGTTACCAAAGTGTGTACAGAACAGGAGGGGAGGGGCTTTGAGCCCCCATAATACCATGCTCAAATCCTCCCCCCACATACCACGCTGGGCCTATTCTGGAATAAAACCAATTAATGTATGTGTGTGCTTTGTGAGAAGTGGGGGGGTTGAATAGTCCTGGTGACCTGAGGTCAGGATTACGCCCTAATTTAGCTCCATTCTCTATTCTCATTAACATGGATTCAAATGCACATAGATGGGCACCTGTGCACTAAACAAAAGTCAACCAATAACACTAATTATGTGGCTAACAAATGTGCATGTAATTCTGTCTTTAAATCTATTATATACACACACTCACATTCATATACAGTACTGGTCAAAAGTTTGAAATCATTACTATTTTTTATGTTTTTGAAAGAAGTATCTTATGCTCATCAAGCCTGCATTAATTTAATCAAAAATACAGAAAAAAATATATTATTACAATTTAAAATAATGGTTTTCTATTTTAATATACTTTTGTCACACAAACCTTCAGAAACCATCTAATATGCTAATTTGATACTAATTTAATTTAATGTAATTTTTTACTTTCTATTCATCAAAGAATCCTGAAAAAAGCATCACAGGTTATAAAAAAATATTAAAGCAGTACAACCGTTTCCAACATTGATAATAAATCAGCAATTGGAATGATTTCTGAAAGATGATGTGAGTAATGATGCTGAAAGTTCAGCTTTGCATCACAGAAATAAATGATATTTTAAAGTATATTAAAATAGAAAACCATTATTTTAAATTGTTCACTGTTTTTTTGTTTTCTGTAATTTTGATCAAATAAATGCAGGCTTGATGAGCATAAGAGACTTCTTTCAAAAACATTAAAAAATAGTAATGTTTCCAAACTTTTGACCAGTACTGTATGTATGTATGTATGTATGTATGTGAATATATATATATATATATATATATATATATATATATATATATATATATATAGGTTGTCCTAAGACAAGAACGGGTATTGTTCAAAATTCATGTATAACTTTGATGAAAGGTTTTGATCAACTTCAAATGTTGACTACTGTGTGTGTGTGTGTGTGTGTGTGTGTGTGTGTGTATGTATATATATATATATATACACACACACACACACACACAAACACTTTCAGGACACACTCGTGCAATGTTTTTACGCAAATGTGAATTATAAACGCTAGTTCCAAATAAACACCTAGTTCTAATGGCTGATTCCGTTCTGTGGTTCTTCTTAAATTATCGGGGTCAGAATGTTCCATCCTGAAACTCCTCACAGCAAACAGCCATAAAGCGTTCATTTACCCAGTGTAATTTAGAAGCCCAGGCCTCCAAGACAAGGCCCAGCACCCCCCGGAGAGTCCGGAGCAAGGGCTCCCTTTGAAAGGCAGTTATTTAATGCTGGGAATGACATTACTCATTCATCAAACAATCGCTGCTCAGATTCAAGCAAAAGGTTAGGCCTAGGTCACCGAGCTGGAGATTCAGGTAAAGGTCCACAGGAAATCGTCTAGAGAGCGACCTTGTGACACGCGCCATAACTGCAAAACCAATTTAGCTCAAACTCAAGAATGGAAAAGTCATTGGAAGCCTTTTCCTGCTAAAGAGGCTTCATTATTGATTGATGTACGCTGTGCAAGGGTTTAATGCTGAAGCACTGCACTCCTAATTGATATCATGTTGTCTCCCTTCATACGCCTCAAGAAATGGGCAATGTGACACGTCAAGACGGGGTTAATGAAATAAAAGCATGAGGTTGCAGGGTATGCAAATGGATGAACCCAGAACAAATCTATAAAGAGAGCAAATTCTAACTGGAATCAACTGAAATGTTCAGTGAGGACAAAAATAATAATAAGACAAAAGCAGGACAGTTCCACACAGACACATTACTAGCATTGTGGCTTTCATCACTTTACTAGTTCTCTAGCTATTATAAACTGATACAATGCTGTCATTTTTTTTCTGTTTGGACTTGGAGTTCAAAGTCAAAGCAGCAATTTCTAACTAATTTATATTTTTTTTAATTACACATCTAATTCCGTCCCCTCCCCCATTTGTTTGCTCGGAAAAAAAATAGGTCAGTGAATCTGACCACTGCCCTAAATATAGGAGGAAACAGCTGCCCACATTAAGAAGCCTGCGCTCTGCGATGAACCAATAAGGCGTTCCGAGACGCCGGGCTGGTGAAGGAAATTCCACTCTCTGACCTAAACAATGATTGCCATTCTTACTGTATGGCTGCTGCAGAGAGGAAGTGAGGGGGCATACAGGAAGTGCATGGTCTCACACCCGACGAAAGATCCTGGATGATGTTGTGTGGTTAGATCTTTTGTTTTGATAACCTGAAAAACGTTAGGGTAATGCTAGATCACATTTCACACCAGTCAAGTCAACAGAAAAAAAAGAAGAAATTAGATTTTGCTTACAGACACTAAAGTACATTTTAGGGCTGTTCAAGTCTTTTGCACATTATTTATGACACAAATGACCAAATAAATTAATAAATAAATATAAATGAATACGTTTAATGGTTTCATCAGATTCTCTTTACACAAATTGTACTGTAATACAGCTTATTTATTTTTAAATGTGTAGTTGTCGACTGATATTCTTTTTTGATTGCTGATGCCAATGCAGGAACAGGAACAGGACGGCCGATGGCTGATATAATATGTAACACATATATTTTATTTAATATTCAATAAATTAGAAATTATACTAACCTATAATTATAATTAACTTATACTTCAGATGGGAACTTCTTTATTTGTGAAAAACACTTACAGAATCAAGAAATTGTTTAAAAATATGAATAAAATAAAGTCTCATGTCCTCATTTAATTTACACAGAGTAACATGCGTTCAAGCAGTCTACAAATACACATTTCAAAAGATCTCACAGCTGGATTCAACTAAATCTGCAAGGTTTGTGAAATTAAATGTTTAATAGATATTCAAAGACTTTTTTATATGATATAAATGCCTATTTGCAAAATGCTGACGGTTAATGAGAAAATATTATAATGTTTGACTTTCTATTACAAATGTAAATGCAAACGTTTTAATACTTTTTTTTAAATACCAATTACATTTATTTGTTTAACAGTTTAATTAGACAGAACTGTTAAAGCAGCACTAAGTAGGAATTCCGTTTTTGTCAAACAGCGACCCCTAGAGTCGCTGTGGTCCACTTGTACTGTCGTGAATAGCACTCACGCAGAGATGGCTTGCACTCACGGCCGGATCCCCTCCCCCTGTACACCGGTACCTGTTCAGTAGGATGGACGCTGTAACGAGTGGAAATAAGGTATGGCCCCTTTAAGAGCTGCGCGCCCAATACCACATGTATACGGCGCCGGGTTATTTCTGTTTGATGCTCATTTTATCAGATCTGTTTTTTGCCGTAAAGCAATTGGTTACCTCGCGAGACCTGATATCACACGATACTTCCTAACACTGAGGCCGGCGGCTCGCCGGCCCAAAGTTGCAAGGGTGGTTTTGCGGCTCACAGGCACCAGGGGGGTGCGAGACGACCACCATTCAACACGAAATCAGTAATATAAACATTACAATGACTCCAAAGCTGTTCGGTTAAGGTAAAAAAGTTACTTAGTTCACCTTTAAATGGGAGCGCTTTGTGTTCAGG